CCCTGTTGAAGTGTGTTACCCTAGAGAAGGGTAAAGAGGTCCTCGAAGATTTGCATGCGGGTTTTTGCGCCTCCCATATGGGCGGCAGGTCCCTAGCTGCCAATGCCAGGCAGCTCTATTTCTGGCCTACTCTGGAGTCGGATGCCATGGAAATGGTAAAAAAATGTGACAAGTGCAAAAAGTTTGGCAAGCTCATCCATCGTCCGGCCACAGACCTGACGGTCATCCACAGCCCAATACCCTTTGCAAAATGGGGCATGGACATACTTGGGCCTTACACAGCAGCACCAGGCGGCAAGCGCTACATATTGGTAGCTGTGGATTACTTTACCAAGTGGGTAGAGGCGGAGGCGATCATAAACATCAAGACCAAAGATGTCATCTCCTTCATATGGAGGAATGTTATCACCCTTTTCGGGGTGCCTATGTCTTGGTTTTTGACAACGGACCTCAGTTTGAGACGCCTCGGCTCAAGACTTGGTTGGGACACCAAGGGGTCCCAAGCTTCTTTGCATCAGTCGGCCGACCCCAAGCAAACGGCCAGGTCGAAGCATTCAACAAGTTAATATCAGACGGGATTAAAAAGAAAATAGAAAGGGTTGGTGGCCTTTGGGCGGATGAATTACCACACGTCCTCTGGGCCATCAGAACAACCGCCAAAGGGGCAACTGGAGAAACCCCATTCCTCATGGTGTATGGTGCAGAAGCTGTCCTGCCCATCGAACACTATGAGCCGACTCTTCGAGTCATGTTATATGACGAAGAGGTAAAATGGGAGGCCATGCGGCTGGCATTGGACTCACTTCCAGAGCGCAGGGGCAATGCTGCCTTGCACCATGAGATTTACCATCTGAGAATGACTCGGGCCTACAACAAAAGAGTACACAAGTGTCCTCTCAAAGTGGGGGACTTTGTGCTACGGAAAATGGAGGCAGTCGGTAGGGCGAATGAGCAGGGAAAGCTAACCCCAAATTGGGAAGGCCCCTACCAAATCTACGATGAAGTAAGAGACGGCTCCTACCGACTGGAAGAAACAGACGGTAGGCGGCTGCCTAGAACTTGGAATGTAGACAACTTAAAAAAGTACTACTTCTAAGAATTTTTGTAATTACTTCAAAGTTCTGATTAATGAGAAAATGCCTTCATTTCCCAAACTTTTCTTGCTAAATTTTGTAAATTATGCTAGCGTCGCCTGTACAAAGTACAGACGACCACCCTATTTTTTAGCGTTTGTCCCAACAACAGATGCCCCAGTCCGTCTGAAGGAGCCGACTGCACCAAAGCAATCGACCCTACTGATTTATTTTCAAGTTAAGTCCAACACTTAACAACTATTTACCATTTTTATAGAGGCCAATGGCCGGATATTAATAAAACAATAGAGGCCGACGGCCACAGTCTGCTCCAACATGAGTATGACCGTCTGCTCCTACATGAGTCAGATAACCGACGACGTCCATTCGGGCGAATTCGTTAAGGAGAAGCATCTCCCATTTGGGTGGCTCATTGCTCTACTAATACATCAAACGGCCCTACCGAATGCTAAAAACGCATCCGCAGTCGTTTGAATAAATCGAAAGTGAAATCTAAAAGGCCGAAAGTTTTTGAATTGTTCTAGTACAATTGAAAAGAGGTCATTGTTTCATGATTAGAGGCTATCGAGGCATAAGGCCAGATGTGCCTGTTTTTGCTCTGGGGCAAGGCAGGCGGAGAACTCTTTCTCAATCAAAAAAGCTAAGTCCAAAAACTTAGCATTATGCGTATATAAGGCTTATGGCCTAATGCTCCTGTTCTGCTATTGGGGCAAACCAGGCGGAATACTTTCTCTAAACAAACAGGCTAAGTTAAAACTTAGCATTTAATTTTAACGAGGCCTATGGCCGAATAAAATCAAAGAATCGACTGCTCTGTTTGGACGTCTGTCGCTTGGTTTAGGGCAATCACCATAGTGATTGATTGACTTAGAAACCATGCATACTCTTCTAAGTATCAATAATTTCTAAGTCAATCAATCCAATCAACCGAAACCAATCAACATCCGCCCAGGGGCAGAACATTCGCATACCATACGGGCTAAAATACTTAGCTAAAATTCCATGCATAAAAATAAGCTTTGAAAACTTTTTAAAGCATGCATAAACACCAATATAAATAAAATCGGCCGAATGACCGGACGCTTCATTAAAATAAAACAATCGTCAAAATTGACGACTGCAAAGAATTAACTGGCAAAGCAAGGAAAATTGTCAAATAACCCGACCCCTCGGTCGGTAAAGATACACATTTACTCGGCACGCAGGCAGGAAGATGAGATAAATGGCCATTCGGCCGCAGAAAGATATTATAAAAAGCTTAAGGGGCAGGGGAGTTATCAACATTGGCAGCCGCATCATCACCCGCCGGCTGCTCCGCATTTTCATCATCCTCCTCGTCCCCCTGCTCGTCCCTAGAAGAGCCTGATGAGGAGCCGGCCTCTTCGCCCTCAGCAGCAGCCTTGTTCACCTCCTCTTGAGATTGGCGAAGAAGTTCAGCATTGAAATCCTCGTTAGCTTGATCAAACTTGGATTTCCAGGTGCTATAGTCGGCACTCGGCTGTACCGCCTCCCATGCCATCCGCATGATGGCCTCATAGTCCTCCATCATTTTTTTGACAAGGGCCTCCTTCTCCTCCTCAGCTTGGGACTTAAACTTGGACTTCAGCTGCTTCTCCTGGTTCGCCAGGCGCACCTCTAGGTGGCCAACCCGCTCCTCGGCCCTCTCGGCCTCTTTCTTAGCCTCTTGAAGAGGCTCAAGCTTTTCCTTAAGACCTTTAATTTCGGACTTAAGGTCAATGATTTTGGAGCGAGCCGAATCCAGGTCCTTCTTTACCTGCAGGTTAGCATTCTCCTGGGAATACATCATATCAAGGGTCAGTAGCTCATTCTGAGCAATTTCAAATAGAGCTTGGTCTAAGGCGGACTCGGCTCGAGCTTTGGCGGCTGTTACCTCTTTGGACTTTTCCTAGATTAGCCTCCTTAGCCCCTAGATGTGCAGCATAGTCTGGAGATGAAAAAAGAGCCGAATGTCAAGACCAGTCGGATATGTGCTTAAACAATAAGAAAATTAAGCTAACTCTTTACCTCACAGAGGTTCCCCAAGATGGCATCCAAGTTAAGGGTGCCGACTCCTTTCACTGACGCCTTGTCCTCTGGATCAAGCGCCCTCAGCATCTCCTTGGCCATCTGGACGACGGTCGGCCTTTGCACAGGAGCTGCAAAATTAAGTTAGTTAAGAAAATTCTTAAAAATTATCTTGATGTTGAAATTCAATGAATTAGATTTTTTAATTTAGTCCTAAATACATTGAAATTGTCAGGAATTAGATAATATTAGTCAGGAAATAGATAATTATAATCAGGTTTAATATAACAATAGTCAGTTAGATTATAGCATACATGAATTAGATTTTTTAATCCAGTCATAAATACATTGAAATTGTCAGGAATCAGATTATTTTCACAAATTACCATATTAGTCAGGAAATAGGTTCTATTAGTCAGGAATTATATTGTTTTTGTCAAAAATTAGACTATATTAAATTAATTGTCTGCATTTACATCATTAAATTACAGAGCATTTAATTATCAGTATGCCTATTATAGCAGCATTTTCATCTCTTTCTTCATCATCTCTTTCTTCATTGATGTTGTCTTCTATAATTACATTATCTGCTGCATACATCATTTGTATTAGTATATTTGAATTTTAGTCTAAAATTATCAAAAAAATAGATTCAAATTTAAATTAATTTTCTACGACATTTATATATACAATTCGAATTAAAATAGCTTTGCATGCAAATTACAAGTATAAATTAAATACGATCGAAAAATAAATTAGCCTTGATTGCAAGTTGTTAGTCGAACTTAAATATGATCGGAATATAATTAGCATTGATTTTAAATTATAAGTCGAAATTAACTACGATTTGAAATTAATTATGCTTCATTCAAAATTATCAACGATCTGAAATTTAATAAGCATAGGTCTAAATTAACTCGAATTTAAATACGATCTGATATTAAATCGAAATTTAATACGATCTGAAATTCAATTTGCCCTGCATGTAAATTATAAATCGAAATTCATAATACAAATTCACTACTACATTTAATCAAATATGATTTGAAATTAAAAACAATATGAAATTATGAATTGTTTTGTACCTTTTTCAGCAATAATTGTGCTAGAAATTGATTCTATGGGTGAATCAGATTCTACTTCAGTCATCATTGTGTTGTTTGATTTCTCCATTTTTTTGATTTGAATTGTTTGAAATTTGAAGATTTGAATGCTCTGAAATATGAGGAAATGAAGTCGTTGAAATTCGACGAAATGAAGGCGTTCGAAATTTTGAGTAAATGACGGCGCTTGAAATTTAGGAAAATGATGAAAACGAAAAAATTCAAACATTTTATTAAATGGCGCGCGGGCTTTGGTCGGGTTTTTTAGGTCCGCGCCTTTTTGATTTAGAGCCCGGTCTCACATGAGTCCAGTCTCACACAAAATGCTTTGATTGCTTAATACACCCCTTTTCCCTCCAATTAACTCCTATTAAAACCCCTGCTTCTCTTTCATTCCTCTTTTAATACGAGTGAATTGGAGGAAAAATTGGTGTATTAAGCAATATACGAGTTCATGTGCATTGCACACTAGTGGTCAACATCGAGAAAAATAGAGTCAACACCGAAAAGTAGCATTTGGTTGTCTTTGATAAAAAAAAATTTATAATGTGGTCTGAAATTGCAAAAAAATAAATTAAAAGACTATTTCACATAAAGTGAACACTTTAAAAGATTGTTTCTGACAAATTTTCCTTAAATATATTATAAATGGATCTTATTTTAAAGAACTTTTTAAAACGAATTTTATGATATGATAAAAATAAAACCGAGTTATAGGATATTTATTAAAAAGTTATGATTAACTTTGTATATATTGTATGAAATATTAGAGGTATAGTGATAATAAAACTCTATACAACAATTTTACCTTAAAAAAATCTATCAAAAAATCGCTTACTTAGTGGCATGTATCACAATAATTCATTAAAAATACATGCCACTCCTAAAAGAGCTCCAACAAAAATTGGAAAACTAGACAGTTGTATTGAGGCCTAGAACAAAATGTGCAATGCATCTTTCAGCCTATAGCTCCAGAATTCCACATCCCACGGTGTGGTTCAAATTTTACAATACGGTATTACACTTTAAAAATCTTTACTTACCATAGTTTCAGTCTTAATACAAATATATTAACAATACAATGAAAGTGACAAAATCATGTAATTGGACGATTCCAGGTTTCATTACCAGCTTCACTCATATCGTCTACGCCGTCGAAAATGCTTCAGGATAAAACTTTCTGCATACAGTGGATAATTTTTCCTGATGAAGCCCTTAATGCACTTCCAGTACGAGAAGTCAATAAACTCACCATCTTTGCGAACTATGAACATACACCGGGAGTCTTGAAACTGAGGATGGTATCCAATCTAATCACCAATTAAATTTTTCATCAGCAACCATTGTATTTTGCTCAAGTACAACTCTAAATGGAACATTAACCTAAAAATCAACACCTACTTTTCATTTGATTAAAAGGTTGAATGGACTCTTGATCAAGCAACATATAAGGAATCTAGTCCAAAAAGAACTAAGAGACATGGCCTACAATCTTGAGCTCAATCAAGAAATAGCCTAAACAGGTATATATAGTTGAAATCTTCCACTACTTTTGCAAGTTCAGATAATTGTTCCTGCCCGGCCATACAGCTAATTCATGGGCATTTCTATCCTTTTCAGTTTAACACAATTCACCGAACAACTATTACACTGATCTGAAAGGATGACACTCAAACAGAAGTTGAGGCTTCAACAATTTGCAATTTTTACACTTACCATTGCAAAATAAAAACAAGGAAAATATGCTATATTATGCAAGGTGGTTCTACAGCCCATCGTCAAGGTAACTTAGACATTTGACGGTGAGATCCATCCTGTGCCTACATCTCAACTACAAATCGAAAGAAGCAGCATATAAATCATAGGATTGCCACAATCTCTTAACACATGGACCAAACACAAATAAAATACACATCTCCATTTATACTTCTCTACAAACTTTAAGGTTGAGCCAAAAGAGCAATTACAGTAGTATAGCAAAATATCGTTGTGCTTTACAAGGAATGAACTCGAGTATTATCTATTAAAGAAGAAAGTTCCCGGTGCTTCAATGATTATCATAGAGAAGCTTGCGGAAACACCAAAAATGACTTAATACAATACCTATATATTACTATAAAAAAATATTCTATGGTAACAAATTAACAATATTTCCTGCCATAGGAATTATTGATTCTTCGCTATATTTTTTGCCATGACTTATATGGATTTCCCTCAAATACACTTGATATATTAGTTAACTGAAAGGTTTTTCCATATGTGACCACCTTGCCACAAGATGAGAATTCCAACCCATCCTCTTAAATAAAATATCAATGTCATAAACAGTCATTTTCCCTAATCCACAGTATGAAGAACCCTCAGATAAATTACATCAGTTCAAATTGACAATTCAATGTTTCAATCTATTATGTTTTTTAGCCTATCCATACTCATTTTATCTTCTTTGAAATCTTAATTTCATGTATGGAGCAATTAAAAAACCATCAATTACATAACAATATTACTAACAAGCCTCTGAAAGGTTAGGTGATGTGCACTCTGCAGGAACACACATATTTGATAAAATAGCCTCCATATTGTTCACAAATACATTGATTTTGAGATGTCAATTACTGAAAATCTAGTTCTATAAAATTCATATAATAAAAATTTTAAAAAATTACATTAAAAAACGGTTGCGCTTCAATCTCAATAATACAATGCAAAACCACGAAAATAAGACCTAAAAATTACTCCCTAATAGTAAAACATGACAGCCTAGCCAATAAAAAAGATATGACAGCCTATGCAACACAAATAGGATTTAAAATAGTGTTGTTCAGTTTATACATTGGTCAATTCAACATTTTAAACCCATTGGTAGGACCGTAGGACTAATTTTTAGTTCACAAACTCTAATATAAGCTATCAAGGGCCAATAGAAGCATGTGGTTAAGAAGACAGTAGTAACAATGCCATTCTTATTTGGCAGGCCTAATATGCATAACACTAATACATCAACAAAATGCATTTATAAGGTCTTTGGTTAAGAAGCCAATAGCAGTAAATGCCTGCTCTGCATTGGACACCTTATAAGCACTTTGCAATAGACAAAGTAACTAACTAAAGTTTTCCATCTGCTACACCTTACTTCATTCTCATAAGTCATATGACACAGCCCCCCATCAAAAGCACAAATTGTTGCTAGTGACTAGGTGATATGAATTCAAAACTAAATCGTATTAACCTCCAAAGCATTGGCTTTACCTAATTTGTTCATGACTTTTCCTAAACATTTGGTTATATAAAAGGATTAATAATGCTCTTCCAAATAACATGTAGTTCATCATTCAACAAGAATGAGTTATTTAGATAGCGTGCTCTCTAGAGGAGCTCAAGAATAATTAATAATGGGTTATATGATTTGGCTATTCAAAACTTCCGCAACCTTATGTAGGCCAGAACAGCATTAATTGCCCCCCCCTGCTGCGGAAACACACACACACACTACCAAAAACAAAAAAAAACCCTAAACCTGCCTGATTTGGTCAAACTGAGCATATAGCCTACCTACTGCATCAAGTTTCAGTTCTCTATTGATGAAAATTGGCAAATCTATGACTGAGATAATTAAGACAAAATAGCAACAATTATCACCTCTTTCACTATTTGGAAAACATTTCCTCTGCAGTTAACCTTAAATTTTGTAAATTGGGCACAATAGATTGGCCTCTTTAAGGAGGAACAACACAGGAAGCTTGAGCTATGTGGAGAGATGACATCTCATGGAACATTAATGTTCTAAAGAAGCTTAATAAAATTGTTTGCCTCGGGTGGACCCTTTTGTGACCTCAAAAGGTTAAAATTCTGGCTAGATTAAGGGCATTACAAATTAAGTAAATAAATTACTTTTCCTACTAAACGGAATCTGCTTCACCCTCATTGGATGTTATTGGCTTGGCTCACAGTATTTGGTCACTGATATAACTCACTTCAGTTATAACTGCATAATATGTTTTCACTAATTTCATCACCTTTAGAGCTACAACTCTACAAAGAGTTCCTACAATAACTAAGATGGGTGGCTTCAAGTATACAAGAAGATACCTCAAAAAAGATAACTAGCTCTTCTAGAAGAGAAGCAGCTTGGAACCTTTCATTCTTAAGACTGAAAGACTAACTTCGCACTTGTGGCAATGTATGTCAGTCTAATACGGGATAGAAGCTTACTTTCTAGGTAAAAGTTCGGTTTAACCAAACCTTGAAACATGACATTTTTGTTCTAATTTCCCCTAATATAAGAACAATCATGACAATATGACTCATGATAATTTGACACCATTAAAACAAATAATTTAGAAAATAGTTTGAGTCAACACAATGTTCCTCCCCATAATTAACACAGAACACTATGAGTGATACTCCATACACTACTTTGTTTACCCAAGATCATTTTAAATGATGTACTAAGAAAAAAAGGCTCCAACTCAATATCCAATAGAGGTATTATTAAAATAAACAAATAAATAAATATATATAAAGGTAAGCATAAGACAAGTTAGTCCTCATAGACAAGACTCATACATCGCTACACCACTAATGCTAGTTGTGGGGGGTAAATAATCTGATCCCATATTGCATCAAGGAAGCAAAAGACATGCATGGCTGAAAAGTAATATTGTGAATGGATAAGGAAAATGGAGAGAAAGAAAAAGAAGTGAAACTAATAATTGTGTTTCCTGAATTATGATACAGACTGGGAGAGAGGAGAATGAAAATGGAGGTTTTTCAATCTCTTATCCATCTAAATAAAATAAACTCTCCCAAAGTTGGAAAGATTTGACGGGGAAACATAAGGTCACTTCTTCCTCTCCTTCTCACCCTTCCCCTTCTATCTCTTACTTCAGCTCCCCTTCCTTCCTTCATTGTTATCAAAACACATGATAACAAAGGCAAAAACCAACAAATCTTAATTATACTTTTCACTAAGTTCATTACAGAGCGTGCTAACAAACCATGAAGACCACTAATGCTATACTAGACGACTCAGTAAGCCGCAATTTGCAAAGGGATTTAGATTTCAGGGAAATTTCACTTGTACGAGAGAATCAATACTGAACACAATCTAAAATACCAGAGAAGACAAGAAAAAGTAATATACAGAGCAAAATTTTATAAGCTGAAGTAGAGAAGATAAAGAAGAGAGAGAATTACAGTGATGTAATCAACTCCACATCCAATTTTATTGTCACATTCAGGGTGATACGGTAGCAACCTCTCCAAAATCATTTTCTCATGCTCAGCAGTCAATCTATCGCCACTTTGGTATCTGATTTAACAAACAAAATATTAGAACTCTTTACAAGACTCCCATAAAATGAAACAGCAAAAACAATTAAAAACAAATAATTCACAAAACAAAAATAAAACATATATGAATCAAACATGAATATCCACTATCTCCCTTTGAAGGTCAAAATTAATCCAACATACCCAATTACACAAATACTTGTACATTATCAAACAATATAACAGCTGGTGTAAAAAATACAACTAAATTCAGATAATAAGCATACTTTTTTACGGAATAGTCAGTAATTATTAACAAACAACCCAAGAAAAAATAAAATGAAAAAAACCAATATTCAACAGGTAAGCATCAAAATAAAATATACCTAATACAGTATTTAATCAAACAAACATACCCAATTACACATACACTTAATTAGATTACAAAAAAAAAATGCCACATGAAAAACTTAAGAGAAATGGCGGAAAAAAAAAAAAATCAAAATTCAAACATGAAAATTATGAAACTTACTTTCCAGAATGAAGAATCATTCTAACAAAGCCAACAAGTGGAACAGTATCCTCTAAAATCTGGTCTTCCCAATCAACCCAACTCTCTCTATCCGCTACCCTCTCAAAACTATTTTCTCCCTCTAAATTCTCAGTATGGTTTTCGACAGAATTCTCAGCGTGCGATGGAGGAGAAACAACCGGTTTCCTCAACAAATCAGGGCCGTAGGATTCAGGGCTTCCAGTTTTTAAAGCGCAACAACAACGACGCTGTTGAATTTGGTGAAGATAAACAGATGAAGGAAGAGATAAGGTTGAAGACGACGAACAAGAAGAAATAAAAGTACCCAATAAGTTAATATTGGAACTACTAATACTGCTAATTAATGACATGATTCGTATAGTGTTGCGAAAAAATATGGATATTGGGGGGTATGGTTGTGGTGCCACCCTGGTTCAGCTCATGGCGGTGGCTAAGAGGTGGTTTCGAGGTGAGGGTTAAGAGAGGTGCTAACGGTAATGGTGGTGTTGGTGAATTGTGAAAATATGGACAAGATAAAGGGGTATGATTGAGCTCTTTCGGTTTTTTGATGGAGAGGATTTACTTTTTTTTTTTTTTTCCTCCAATTTTTTTGTTGTATTTTTTGTGTTGGGTTTTGGGTGTTGAAATAGATTTATGGCCTTATGGGCTATCTATAATAATGGGAAAATACAATGCTAAACATGGTATGCAAGTTAGGGTATATGTGTCTTTTCACTTATTTAATTGGGGTATTTTGGTAATTTCATTTCTTTTTTTCCTCCATTCTCCATTCCACCATAATCGTTCAACCCACCTTGTTCATCCACGTGAGCAAAGATGCATACCAACGCTTTTGGCGGTTCAAAATGTCGACGTGAAGGAAAAGTTTTTCCTAAGGGGTTGATATGGCCCTAATTCACACCCTTTTGTTACTAGGGTGTCTTTTTGTTACCGTTACAAAGCGGTGTTGGAGTCGTTGAGGAAGGAAGAACAAGAAGATGAAAAAGGGAAGAAGAAGAGGGACGTGAATACACAAATGATAATGGTTGTGATGGGTTTCGGAGAGGAACGTGGGGTTGTGATGGTGATGGTGGCCTAAGACGAAGATGGTAGTGATGGTGGTGAAGTGGCTGTAATAACGTGGATGCTAGATCTATGTTTTTTTTTTAATAAACATAAAAAGTGTATCTATGGCAGAGCATGGCCAACAAAAGGAACTAATTAACATTTTTTGGTTGATTAGATCAGCTGGAGCGCCCCCATCATAATATCATGTTCCCTTCGTTCTTTAAATAATACTGTTTCACAAAGAAAGAGTTGAATAGTTTATGTTTCGGGGGTTTTTGTCCCTTGGGAGAGTTACAACACTGAGACTGGATTCAGCAAAGGGCGCCTGTACCTGCAAAGCAAACGGACCGCCGGATGGTCGGTGGTCCGCCTCCGAAGATTAAGTTAGTAAGTATTCGGAGTAAAACGTGCGGAAATAAAGTTATCTGCTCGGATTCCAAGCTCAGGTAAGGTAATGTTTGTTCCTTGAAAACGACAGCTTTGTAATAAATGTGAAAGTGACGTGTTGTCTCGTATTGCGTGTATCCCTGTCATAAATGTAGGAACTGTCCCTATTTATAGGGTCTTTTTGAAAAGTGTGCCCTCCCTAGGATCTGGTGATCTAGGGATTAGGTCACGCCGTAAAACGGCGCCTCAAGGTTTGGGCCCTTGAAGGCCGCCATTCCATAAGAAATGCCTGAGTGACGCGTTTCATTGAGCCCAAAAGGCTTTTGGGCATCTCTTAGGGTGACACGTGTTGCCCTCTTAATGGTCCATGCTGGATCATCAATCATCTCAGAACGGGGGAATGTCTGCCTTCCACGTGTCACCATCTCAAAGGTCCAGATGGCACCCCTTCTAATGACACATGGAAGCTTCCGATTGGGCCACCTGGCCGGGTATAAAAATACCCAAATCATTTGCCCCTCACAGGGGTCACGTGCATTGCACATAACACCTGTGACAGGTGTCATCATCCAACTGGCCGGATTTTCAAATTACATTTTGGGGGGAAAAATTAGGGTTTACCCTTTCTATAAATAGGAGGGTTTGACTCCCCTTTTGTTTTCACACCTTTGCAAATCTTGGAGAATCTCTGGACTTTTGACTTTCAAAGACTCTCAAAGACCTAAACTTGTCAAGCATCCGACACTCGGCTTTCTGTCCGTCTGTTTCAGCAACCAGGCGTCTCGTAATACCTTCTTCTAAGGTAACCGCCTGCTCTCTTCTTTTACTTATTCTTTCTTTCATTTTTTCTTTATCAAATGGTTTCCCAAACGAACAAGGAACGGGCTAGGTTAGCGATCAGCCGGTCACCGGGGACGACTGAATCTAGAACTAGGAGTGTCGAATGCTCGTTCGAGAACTTTTCTTTAAGTACATCTTCAAATTCGACAGTGTCTGTGCATCTGCAGGACACGATGGCCAGAACAAAGCAGACAACGAGGAGATATAGGGTGGATGGTTCCTTTTACCATTCGGACAGTGAGACTGTCAACTCTAATGGCTCCATTAGAGTGCCTGCTAGTGAAATTTCTGAGCACCCCCCAAACCCTTCTTCTGACCTTCCCCAAACTCCAACTTATTACTCTTCCCCTTCTTCAAGCGGCACCCCCAGTGATACTATACTGCGGGAAGCCGACATTCAATACCAGGCCGAGCCTTCGAAATTGGCCAGAGGCGGATCTAGGGGGGGTTCAAGGGGGTTCATTGAACCCACAGATTTTTTGGAAAAAAATTATAAGTTTTAATTTTTTTAAAAAAAAAAAAAGAAAAAGGGTTAAAACAAATTTCTGTGAGAATAATAATCACATGGGTAAGTTTGGTGCATTGGTAAGGCTTTGAATAATAGAGCAGTGCGCCCTTTTAATGTCTTAGGTCTTAGGTTCGACTCCTATTGCCCTCTTTTTTTGTACTTTTTTTTTTTTTTTGTTCTTTTACTCCTTACGTTCAAATTTCAGAATTCAGAAATCAAACATCGACATTTCTTATTTTCCCCAAATTCCCAAACACCAAAACCCTAACCTTGACATCCTATGACCCTAGCCAGTAGCCACTAGCCGCCGCGGCACCGCACACTGAGACACCAACCGGCGACCGGGAGCACTGACGACCTTACGGAGTGACGGAGACACGGACGAGGGACGACTGTTCTGAATTCACACTTCAGAGTTCTTCTACAATTGTGAGTCCTCTTAATCTCTTATTCCTCTACTCCTATTAATTCTAATCTTGGTTTGCTTGTTTTATTTTTTAAATTGGTTTATGGTTTTGATATATTGTTGAATTCTTGAATTGTTTAGAAATTGAATTGTAGAAACTTAGAAGTTAGAATTAAAAAATTTTTACTTGTTTTTTTTTTTATTTTTTGAAATAAAATTTTTACTTGTTCTGTTAATTGAAATTTGATAATTAGAAGAAGTTCATATTGTCAAATTTGTGTTTATTGGGGACTTGTGATTTTAATTGATAATTAATTATGTATTATGTAAAAAATAGGTTGCGGAATAGTACGGGTGATCAACTATTGAATGATAGTTTAGTTACTTATCTTGAGAGAGACTTATTTGCAAGAGTTAGTGATGATGATGTATTAGCACGCTTTCAAAGTAGGAAAACTCGAAGAATGCTTTTGTAGGTTTTTTTTTTATTTTTTTTTATTTTTTTTATTGTGTAATTCATCCATTTGTGTTGAAAATTTGATTTATGTATTGAATTGTTAATCAAAATATGATCATCGTTTTTTTTTTAAGATTTCGAACCCACAGTTTGGAATTCCTGGATACGCCACTGGAACAGGCGTCGGAGGAGAGTCTAGGGGAGGACCCTGCTGGCCCCAGCCGGCAGTCCCCTAGCACTGGGGAGAGCTCTGATGACGATTCGGCCTCGTCATCTTCTGAAAATGCCTCCGTTACTTCAAAGGAGGCCCGAGCAAAGATAAGCACTACAAGGGAATCCTTGTCAGTGGAAAAGGGGGAAGGCTGGGCAGAGCCGAGTGCTTCTAGGCGCTTGGAACGCACCCCCTACTATCACCATGTCCCGCAAAGTAAGCGGACTTCTATAACATCCGGTCTTGCCAATATCAAGCGCAAGACCGTAATGGGTCATGGCTTTTCCTTGTCCGTTCCCAACAAGGATGATATGATAACCTGGCCGACCTTGGCTAGTTATAAGGACCAAGAATTCGGCTGCTAAGAGGCGGTCCTCCAGGCTGGTCTACGCTTCCCTCTCCATCCGGCCGTGGAGAGAATACTGGACGGATACCAACTGGGTATCTGGCAACGTGTCCTGAATTCATGGATTAATATCATCGGGTACGTTGCCGCATGTGAAATGCTGGAGGTGGATCCCAGCTTTGAGGCATTCGCCCACATGCATTATCTCAGCCGAGCGTCTGCTAAGGGCGGCGAAGGCTGGTACACCTTGTCCACCTGCAAGGGGTACATGATGGCAGTCGGCAAGGAGAACAAGTGGAAGGAGTGGAGAACAAAGTTCTACATAGTCCATTCCTCTGATAGCCGACTGAACCAGAAATACAATAGGTGGAACAAGGATCCGCCCCTCCTGGCTGGCAAGAGTGCCTTGCCCCCTCTCCCTAGGCGGGCCTAGGAGGAAATTTTTGATCGGGGTTTGTTCAAAGTGTCCGTTCGGACAAATGTGCAGGGGGAGAAAATAATCGTCCCCCAGAGCTACATACCCCTTTACAAGTGGCTGGAAGATGGGGTGTTCTTGGCCGCTTGTGGGCTAAGCTCTGAGATGCCGAGAGGTAGTCGGCCGTCTGATTTTATGCAACCTTTAAATTGCTTTTCAAAGTTTGTTTATAAAGTCTAACTTCTGCTTTTGGTGCAGACAAAGCTATGGAAAAGGTCTCGGGAACAAGGAAGCCGACTGCTGTTTCTGAAGCAAAATATCGCTCAAACGTCCTTAATCGAGCGAGTGACGAGCAGAAAACAGTCGGGACTCCCAAGGTAGTTGTTTATAATACTTGGTATATTTTTCAACAAAGGTTAATTTTTGCCCGCCTGTTTTTCTGACGCCTTTCTTTTTGCTCATGCAGAGTGGTTCCACCAGGCCCTCTCCCTCCAAGCTAATCCAACCCAAAATCCAGAAAACTGGGGCTCGCTCCAAAATCACTGAACTTAAGGCCGAAATTAAAGGTCTTAAGGAAAAGCTTGAGCCTCTTCAAGAGGCCAAGAAAGAGGCCGAGAGGGCCAAGGAGCGGGTTAGCCGCCTAGAGGTGCGCTTGGCGAACCAGGAGAAGCAGCTGAAGTCCAAGTTCAAGTCCCGAGCTGAGGAGGAGAAGGAGGCCCTGGTCAAACAAATGATGGAGGACTATGAGGCCATCATGCGGATGGCATGAGAGGCTATACAGCCGAGTGCTGACTATAGCACCTGGAAATCCAAGTTTGATCAAGCAAACGAGGATTTCAATGTTGAAATTCTTCGCCAATCTGAAGAAGAGGCGAACAAGGCTGATGCTGAGGGCGAAGAGGCCGGCTCCTCATCAGGCTCTTCTGGGGACGAGGAGAATGATGAAAATACGGAGCAGCCGGCAAGTGATGATGCGACTGCCAATGTTGATAATTCCCTGCCCCTTAAGCTTTTTATAAGTTCTTTCTGCGGCCGAATGGCAATTTATCTCATCTTCCAGCCTGCGTGCCGAGTAAATGTGTATCTTTACCGACCGAGGGGTCGGGTAAATTAACAATTTCTCTGGCTTTGCCAGCAAACAATCTTACCCAGTCGTCTGGTGGCAATTGGACTTTTTAATTTGAAATCATTCGGCCGTTTGGCTGAAGTTATTCTTATTGTTGTTCTTTAAATTTTTTCATTGCATGTTTTTTGGCTAAGTATTATAACCTGTATACCATGCGAATGTTCTTGCCCCTTGACGGATGTCGAGTGGTTTTGGTTGAGTGGATTGATTGACTTAGAAATTATTGATACTTAGAAGAGTATGCATGGTTTCTAAGTCGATCAATCACTATGGTGATTGCCCCAAACCACGCGACAGACGGCTATCCGGAGCAAATGAATAATTGTTTTCATTCGGTCATTGGCACAAACAAAATACAAAATTCTTGACTTAGCAAATTTGCTAAAAAGAAAACCTTCGCCTGTTTTGCCCTAAGAGATGAAAGCAGGCGCATCCGGCCATAGGCCTCGTCGAGATAAGATGCTAAGTTTTAACTTAGTCTTAATTTTACTTAAGAAGAATAATCCGCCTGTCTTGCCCCAAGAGCAAAAAACAGGCACATCCGACCCACATGTCTCTATGTCTCTTTTTTAATCTGCTAAGTATTTTAGCTCATTTTTTTTTCTTAAGTAATAGTCCGCCTGTCCTGCGTTTGAGCAGAAACAGGCGTATCTGGCCAATAGCCTCATAAGTTAACTTAACTTGTAGATTAGCAAAAAAATTTTCCTGTCTTGCCCCAGAGAAAAAACAGGCACATCCGACTTAATGCCTCAATAGCCTCTACTTATGAAACAGTGACCCTTTTCCGACTGTGCTAGAATAGTTAGAAAATTCTGGCCTTTTAGATTTCACTTTCGATTAAATCAAACGACTGCGAATGCTGCCTTAGCATTCGGTAGGGCCGCTTGATGTATTTGTAGAGCAATGTGCCACCCAAATGGGAGATGCTTCTCCTCGACGAATTCGCCCGAATGGACGTCGCCGGTTATCTGACTCATGTTGGAGTAGACGGTCATACTCATGTTGGAGCAGACTGTGACCATTCGACCTCTATTTGTTTTTTAATATCTGGCCATTGGCCTCAAAATGATTTTATCTGGCCTTAGGCCTTTCAAAGAATTAAGCAAATATTCGTTAAGTGTTAGCATAAACTTAAAGAATTTCGTAGGAACGACTGCTTTAAAGCAGTCGACTCCTTTAAAGCAGTCGACTCCTTCATAGAGATTGGGGTGTCTGCTGTTTGGACAGACGCTTCAAATACATTGGTCGTCTGTATTTTGTACAGGCGACACTAATAAAAAAGACAAGTTGGGAAATGAAAGCATATTCTCATTAGCAAAATTTGAAATGACAAAATTTGAGGTATTTACATTCGTACTTAGAAATAGTACTTTTTCAAGTTGTCTACATTCCAAGTTCTAGGCAGCTGCCTGCCGTCTGGTTCTTCCAGGCGGTAGGTGCCGTCTCTTACTTCCTCATATATTCGGTAGGGGCCTTCCCAATTTGGGGTTAGCTTTCCCTGCTCATTCGCCCTACCGACTACCTCCATTTTCCGTAACACAAAGTCCCCCACTTTGAGAGGACGTTTGTGAACTTTTTTGTTGTAAGCCTGCGTCATTCTCAAACGGTAAATCTCATGGCACAAGGCAGCATTTCCCCTGCGCTCTGGAAGTGAGTCCAATGCCAGCCGCATGGCCTCCTAGTTTACTTCTTCGTCATATAACATGACTCGAAGAGTCGGCTCATAGTGTTCAATGGCCAGGACAGCTTCTGCACCATACACCATGAGGAATGGGGTTTCTCCAGTAGCCCCTTTAGAAGTCGTTCTGATGGACCAGAGGACGTGTGGTAATTCATCCGCCCAAAGGCCACCAGCCCGTTCAATTTTATTTTTAATCTCGTCTGAAATTATCTTGTTGAAGGCTTCGACCTGGCTGTTTGCTTGAGGCCGGCCGACTGATGCAAAGAAGCTTGAGACCCCTTGGTCTCCCAGCCAAGTCTTGAGTTGAGGCGTCTCAAATTGAGGACCATTGTAAAAAAACCATAGACATGGGCACCCCGAAACGAGTGATAATATTCCTCCAGATGAAGGAAATGACATCTTTTGTCTTGATGTTTTTGACCGCCTCCGCCTCTACTCACTTTGTAAAGTAATCCACAGCTACCAATATGTAGCGCTTGCCGCCTGGTGCTGCTGTGTAAGGCCCAAGTATGTCCATGCCCCATTTGGCAAAGGGTATTGGGTTGTGGATGGCCGTCAGGTCTATGGCCGGACGATGGATGAGCTTGCCAAACTTTTGGCACTTGTCACATTTTTTGACCATTTCCATGGCATCCGACTCCAGAGTAGGCCAGAAATAGAGTCGCCTGGCCTTGGCAGCTAGGGACCTGCCACCTATATGGGAGGCGCAGAAACCCGCATGCAAACCTTCGAGGACCTCTTTACCCTTCTCTGGGGTAACACACTTCAACAGGGGTTTCAAGAATCCAGTCTTGAAGCGCTCTCCTTGTCTCAGCTCGAAGTTTGCGCTTTCTTCTTCAGAACAGCCGCCTCCTGGGTTGAATCAGGGAGCGTGCCGTTTGCAAGATAAGCCCGGATGTTGTCCATCCAAGTAGAGCTTTGGTCGAGAATTCCAATGGGGTCTTCATTAGATATACTTCTCTTTTCCATGACCTCCCAAAAAACTGACTGAGGCGTTTCACAAGAGGCGGATGATGCCAATTTTAACAGAGCATCCGCCTAATTGTTTGAAGATCTGGGCACTTGGGTTAGGTGAAACTCCTCAAGTGTCCCAACTTCACTTTTGACCGCCTGCAAATATTTTATCATGGTCGGATGAGTGGCCTCGTACGTTCCATTGACTTGGAGTACGACTAGTTGAGAAACAGAGCAGGCGTTAATTTTCTTTGCCCCTGCCGCCTTGCAATACCGAATGCCGGCTATCAGGGCCTCATACTCGGCCTCATTGTTAGAGACCTGGAACTTGAAATGTATTGCATATTCGTACTTATCTCCCTCAGGAGATTGACAGATAATCCCTGCACCACAGTCGTTCGCATTGGAGCTCCCGTCCACACACACTTTCCAAACCTGGTCAGGATTGTCTGGTGCAATCGGCCTTGTCATTTCAACAATAAAGTCGGCGAATGCTTGCCCCTTTATTCCCTTCCTTGGTTCGTAAGTGATTTCTAATCCTTGCATTTAAGCATTCGTCCAGAAGACTCCAAGGTTGTGAGCGGCCGCTTGATCGGTTGGTCAGTATAGACCTCTACCGCATGCGCCAATAAGTAGGGTTTTAGCTTCTTGATGGCCATGTAAAGGGCAAGGCCAAAATTTTCAACCATGGGGCACCGAAGCTCTGCGTTCCTAAGAACATGGCTAATGAAATACACCGGGAGCTGGATGCCGTCTACAATGTACGCCTCTACATTCCTTCCGATTTGATTAATGAAGACCGTGTTAATCATTCGTTGGAAAGTGGCAGGCGCATTCTTCAAACCAAACGGCATCACCGTATAATAGAACAAACTCTGATCAATGACGAATGCCGTCTTTTCTTGATCTTTTTTCCACAGGGGGATATGATGGAAACCTGAATAGGCGTCCATAAAACTCATCAGGGCATGTCCGGCTGTTGAATCGACCAGACTGTCAATCTTAGGCAATGGATAACTATCTTTTGGACATGCCTTGTTGAGGTCTGTGTAATCAACACACATGCGCCAAGTTCCATTCGGTTTTTTTTACTAACACAACGTTAGCTACCCACTCAGGGAAATTGCACGACCGAATGAACTTGGCATCCAGCAGCTTTTAAACTTCGGCGGTTGCCGCCTGACTTCTTTCCTCGCCATGGTTTCTTTTCTTTTGCTGGATGGGCTTCTTTTTAGGATCAACGGCGAGTTTGTGGACAGCGAGATCCGGGTTGATGCCTGGCATCTCTTCCACTTCAAAGGAAAAGATGTCTTTGAATTCTCTCAACAGCTGGTGCAGGCTCTCACCCAGCTTTGCAAATGCAACCGTCCCCACCTTAACCGTCCGCTCTGGGCAGCTGTCGTGAAGAGGGATATCAATGTGTTCTCTAGCAGGCTAGGGACGGAGATCATTCGACCGTTCCCCGGTCAGTGATTGCTATTGTTTTTCTTTTTTGACCACTTCCAGCTAATCAGTCTTTCTTTTATTTCCGGCTGGTGGGGCCGACTGTTCTTCCTCGACATCATCGAGGTTGATTGTGTGCTTGCCCCGGCCGGATGCTACGGCCGCGGGCTTGACGTCCGAGAGATAACACTCTCGAGCCGTCTTCTGGTCCCCATTGAGGGAATCGACTGTTCCATCATCCTTCTCATACTTGAGTAGCATGAGAGCAGGAATGATGACGGCCTTACACTCATTTAGAGTGGGTCGGCTAAAGATGAGGTTGTAAGCTGTGAGCTTTTCAACCACTAGGAAACGGATGGTCATGTGCCGACCGTCTCCCCTGTTCCCCAGGCGGACAGGTAAGTCAATTCGTCCGACTGGGTGCACAAGTCCTCCCCTAAACCCAACAAGGGTGTAGGAGACCTCCATCATGATATCCGGTTTGTACTTGAGATTGGATAAGCATATGAGGCTGATGAGGTCCGAGAAGCTTCCCGTGTCAATCAAAATTCGACCAACCAGCTGG